ACCCCCGCCGCTCCCTTTGCCCCCCATTTGCCCCTTGCGCCCTGGAGGTCTGCAGCCCCCGCAGAAATGGAGCGTGCGTGTGCCGCCACCCCCGGGGGCATCTGGGGTGACTGCGGGGAAGGTGGGGACTAGCGGGGCAGGCCAGAGAGAGGGGGTGTCCGGGGAACCAAGGTGTCCGTCTGGGACGGACACAGGGCCCCTCCCTGCGAGTCCCCTGACTCGCCGACACGGCCACACCCGAGGACGCCCATGTGAGCGGACGGGGTACTCGTCGCTGATTCTGTGTAATCCCCAGGGTGCGGGAAGCCTGGCGGGCCCGGCTCGGCGGAGGCCTGCTCTGCCCGCCTCACCCACCTGATAGTCCTCGGCGAAGCCGCAGTTGCTGTCCTTCTCCTTTTTCCTGACGTGCTCGGCAAAGTCGGCCGCCAGGATGTCCCCTGGGAAGCTGGGGGGGACAGAGATCTTAACCTCCTTCACTCCGGTGTCCTCGCGGCAAGAGGGGTGTCCTTGTCGACATGCCCGTAACTCCCGCATCTTACAGCTGGAAGCTTGAAACTATTTTTTTTTAATCCTCACAGGAGGAAATTGTTTTCATTACTTTTCAGAGAGAGAGGGAGGGAGGGAGGAAGGGAGAGAGACTTCGATGTGAGAGAGGCACAGCGCCCGGTGGCCTCCTGCACCACCCCGGCCGGGGCGGGGAGTGAACCCGCAACTGCGGTACATGCTCCTGACCGGGGTCGAACCCCAGCCCCTTCGGTGCTCTAACCACTGAGCCACGCTGGCCAGGGCCGACTGCCTCTCATTTTAACGCCGTGTCTAAAATATTTCTTCACCCTTCCTGGCCTCATCTCTTGCTTTATTTGTCTCCCAGTAGGTATCACCTTCAGTGTCCTGTTCACCAGCGTCTTCCTGCACTAGGATGGCGGCTCCGTGGGGACAGGGATCTCTGTTTAACTCAGTTTCCTCAGCACCCAGCACAGTGCCTGACACATAATAGGTCATATTCTGTTGGATGAGTGAGTGGAACTTTCCCAACAGAGTTGAATCTGGAACTGATTCCGCGCGGCCGGGCGGGGCTCAGCGGTGGAGCATCCGCCCAGGATCCAGGAGACCGCGGGTCGATTCCCGGTCGGGCACGTGCCAGGGTTTCAGGCTCGATCCCCAGTCGGGGGCGTGCAGAAGGCAGCCGCTCAATGGCTCTCTCATCATTGATGTTTCTCTCTCTCCCTCTCCCTTCCTCTCTCTCAAATCAATAAAAACATTAAAAAAATAAATAAAAATTTAAAAAAGAAACTGGAACTGATTCCAACATCACCGGCCCAGGCTGCTTAGGGGGCAGGAAGCGATGAAAGGGCCGTGACCCCTGCGGCAGAGGGCATCAGGGCATGAATGTGGGTGGGTTCCCTGATCCTGCCCTCTGGCCCACTCAGCGGCCAGCAAACACCNTGTGAGCGGACGGGGTACTCGTCGCTGATTCTGTGTAATCCCCAGGGTGCGGGAAGCCTGGCGGGCCCGGCTCGGCGGAGGCCTGCTCTGCCCGCCTCACCCACCTGATAGTCCTCGGCGAAGCCGCAGTTGCTGTCCTTCTCCTTTTTCCTGACGTGCTCGGCAAAGTCGGCCGCCAGGATGTCCCCTGGGAAGCTGGGGGGGACAGAGATCTTAACCTCCTTCACTCCGGTGTCCTCGCGGCAAGAGGGGTGTCCTTGTCGACATGCCCGTAACTCCCGCATCTTACAGCTGGAAGCTTGAAACTATTTTTTTTTAATCCTCACAGGAGGAAATTGTTTTCATTACTTTTCAGAGAGAGAGGGAGGGAGGGAGGAAGGGAGAGAGACTTCGATGTGAGAGAGGCACAGCGCCCGGTGGCCTCCTGCACCACCCCGGCCGGGGCGGGGAGTGAACCCGCAACTGCGGTACATGCTCCTGACCGGGGTCGAACCCCAGCCCCTTCGGTGCTCTAACCACTGAGCCACGCTGGCCAGGGCCAACTGCCTCTCATTTTAACGCCGTGTCTAAAATATTTCTTCACCCTTCCTGGCCTCGTCTCTTGCTTTATTTGTCTCCCAGTAGGTATCACCTTCAGTGTCCTGTTCACCAGCGTCTTCCTGCACTAGGATGGCGGCTCCGTGGGGACAGGGATCTCTGTTTAACTCAGTTTCCTCAGCACCCAGCACAGTGCCTGACACATAATAGGTCATATTCTGTTGGATGAGTGAGTGGAACTTTCCCAACAGAGTTGAATCTGGAACTGATTCCGCGCGGCCGGGCGGGGCTCAGCGGTGGAGCATCCGCCCAGGATCCAGGAGACCGCGGGTCGATTCCCGGTCGGGCACGTGCCAGGGTTTCAGGCTCGATCCCCAGTCGGGGGCGTGCAGAAGGCAGCCGCTCAATGGCTCTCTCATCATTGATGTTTCTCTCTCTCCCTCTCCCTTCCTCTCTCTCAAATCAATAAAAACATTAAAAAAATAAATAAAAATTTAAAAAAGAAACTGGAACTGATTCCAACATCACCGGCCCAGGCTGCTTAGGGGGCAGGAAGCGATGAAAGGGCCGTGACCCCTGCAGCAGAGGGCATCAGGGCATGAATGTGGGTGGGTTCCCTGATCCTGCCCTCTGGCCCACTCAGCGGCCAGCAAACACCCCTTGATTTGACCTGACAGCGATTCTTTTGGGTGCTCCCCAGCTGTCTGCTCACCTGACTACTGAGTTCTTCTGGCTCTTCTTATACCTGGGGGAAGGATGTTGGGATGAAAGGCTCAGGGAGAGAGGCAGGAGCCAGAGGTCCTGACCCTTCCCCGGCCCCGCCTCCGGGCAGTCGGTCAGTCCTGTGCTGAGTCTCACCTCTTCTTCAGGAAGAAAGCCAGCAGGCCCCCCAGGACGATGAATAGAAGGACGCCAACAATGGCCCCCGCGATGACCCCTGGGGGAAGGAGGGTGCGGAGCCCTTAGAGCCCTGGCCCTAGCTCCCGACACCCCATCTCTCCTGTCTCCATCTTTACACCCAGACTGTGACCAGAGGGCCTACAGGGTAGATACTGGGCCAGAGGGGGCAGGAGAAAAATCTGGATAAAGCCTCACATCCCCACCCAACCTTTCCTCTCAGCCTCTCAGTTCCCGAGGAGCCTGGTCCAAATGCATCATTTTCTCGGGTGACCTGGCTGCTAGAGGACACTCCCCTCCTTGACCTAGGCTAACAGTTCTCAGCAAGGGCGACCTTGCCCCGCCAGCGACCTCAGGGACTGCCTGGAGACATTCTGGCTCATCGCCACTGGGGGGGTGCCACTCGCACTGAATGGGAGGCCGCTCGGTATCCCCAATGCACAGGACAGGCCCCCCCACAGCGAAGAATAACCCAGCCCGCCCGGCCGGTGTGGCTCAGTGAGAGGCCAGTCACAGAGGACCACATGCTATGTGATGTGATTATATTTTCAGGAAATGTACAAAACAGGAAAATCTATAGAGAAAGAAAATAAATTAGAGATTCCCTAGACCTGGTTGCTGGGGACCTGGGGAAGTTAGGCGGGGATGGCTTAAGAAGGGGGTTTTCGCCCGGCCGGGCGGGGCTCAGCGGTTGAGCGTCGACCTAGGATCCGGATCAGGGTTTGATTCCTGGTCGGGGCACAGGCCCGGGTTGCGGGCTCGATCCCCAGTCGGGGGCGTGCAGGAAGCAGCTGATCAATGACTCTCATCATTGATGTTTCTCTCTCTCCCTCTCCTTTCCTCTCTCTGAAATCAATAAAGATATATTTAAAAAAAGAAAAAAAAAGAAGGGGGTTTTCTTTATGGGGTGATAAAAATATTCTAAAACTGATCCTGCTGGTGGTTGCACAGTACTGTGGATACACTCAAAGCCACTGTACACGTTAAATGGGTGCGTTGTATGTTATGTGACTTACAGCTCAGTAAAATTGTTTTAAGAAAAGCAAAAAACAAACACTAACAAGCAAACAAAAAGGACCCCATGGGTAGGTAAGGCTCCCTCACGACAGGGCCCGAGGGGTCTAGGGAGACTTTCTCTGTCTCCCGGGGCTCTGCGCACCTGCACTCTCGGTGTGGCAGGTCACAGAGGTAGGTGGGGCCTTCAGTCCGTCCCAGATGGTCCTGACGGTGGCTGAGTAAGACCGCGCAGGCTGGAGGCCTGACACAGGCACGTCCTTCCCGCAGGAGGCGCCGTCCTGGGAGCCCTCTTGCCCGCCCACCTGAAACTCAAAGGCCTCATAGCCTCCTGGGGGGCAGGACCAGGTGAGGATGACCCCATAGCCACCAGAGGTGCTGATGCAGGAGGTGATGGTGACAGGGTCCGGGTCTGGGGGGGGGATGACAAGAAGAGTCAGTAGGTGCTGTGGAAGGTGGTTTTCCATCCCTCCCCCACTTCACACCAGTGATGCCAATTCTGGGAGGAGCCCATCCTTCCTTCCCCAAACCAAAATACCTCTTCACCCCTCCTTTTCTGTCTTCCCCAAATGGACTCACAACAGGTCCCCACAAACTACAACTCCCATGAGCCCTCTGACCCTCTGCAGCATATACAGATATGGCCCCATGGCCTGATGGGATTTGTAGTCCACTCACTTCTCATTGCCCCCCCAGTTGAAACGAAGCCCGGTCCCCCAACCAGGTACAAGGGGGCCCATCTCACTTGTGGACGCGCGGAGGCTCTGTGTGGAGCTGGCTACCTCGGTCCTCAGTGCCCACACGCTGAAGTTGTACAGGGTCCCGGGTTCCAGGGCCTCCGCCACATACCAAGTCTCATTGGTCCTGCCTCTCTCAGATCCCTGGTGTCCTTGGGGATCTTTTTCCCTTTGGGGATGTCCCCCACCGGCCCACTGGATGCAGTATATGTAGAGGTGAGAGCGGGGGTCTGCGGGGGCCTCCCAACGCAGGGTGATTGAGTTGTTGGTCTGAGTTTTCTTCTGCAGAGCTGTGACCTCGTTGGGAGCTGAGGATTGAGACAGACAACTTAAGGGGCTGGATCCTCGAGGACCCTCACACCCGAGCCTGCTCGCCTCCCCTTTCCCTGCAAAGCTGAGAAGCCCCAGTTATTGGATGGGTCTGCTTCCTAAGGAGCATAAACCACAGAAAAAAGGTGGGGATCAGGATCACCCAGGTCCCCTCTTTCCTGGGTCTGCAGCCCTGGGTCCTACCCACCACCCTTCTCACTTCTAGATCCACCAAGTTTCTAAATGGAGCTATTGACTTCAGTCTTCTTAACCCAAATGGCCAGAGACTGAAGAGTTCCAGGTTCCGTCCATCAACAGGGACCCTAGTCCCTGGGGTAATGGTGGTTTCTCTCACGCTCAGGACCCTCCCTATGGAGGCGGGGCTCTGTGGGTTCCCCTAATTCACCAGCATAAGCTGTGGATGACTGTCTAGCCGGCGGTGACTTTACTGATTCCTGAGAGGTGGTGCTGGACAGTCAGGGGCTCTCTTCATCCCCAGAGACAGACCCTCAAATTGGAAAACCTTGGCTGCTGAGGACAGACACCCCCTAGAAGCAGACCTGTGAGCTCAAGGTCTGATGGGGCTGCAGAGGGGTCTCCCAACGCGGCCCTCCATCACTCTCCTCTCCCGTTCCAGGAGTGCCGGGTCCAGAACTCGACCGGGGCTCACCTGTGGCCCCGGTGAGGGTCTCGTTGTCGCTGTTGACCCCGTTCCTCACCGCCCAGATGGTGAATGTGTACAGGCTCCCGGCTTCCATTCCCTCCAGTGTGATCTTGGTATCCGAGGTGTCATCGGACCTAGTGTCAGCGCTGCCCTCCATGATCCATGAGACCCCGTAGGTGTAGGGAGGGAGACCTGGGCCCTGGGGCACTGCCCAGTTCAGGGTGATGGAGCTGGTGGTCTGGCGCTGTATCCTGAGACTTGTCACTGCATTGGGGACTGGCAGAAGGAAAAGATGGTTGGGTTTCCATGACCCTCGTCCACAGGAGTCCAGAACACAGTCATGTCCCTGCTCCCTTTGCGGCCCAGCTTGTTAAGAAACACTTCCTAGCCCTGGCCGAGTAGCTCGGTCGGTCGGAGCATCATCCCGATACGCTAAGGTTGCCAGTTCAGTCCCCAGTCGGGGCACATACAAGGATCAACAAATGAACGGGTAACTAAGTGGAACAACAAATCCGTCTCTTCCCCTCCCCCTTCCTCTCTCCCTCGAAAATCAGATTTTTAAAAAAAGAAGAAAGAAAGAAAGAAAGAAAGAAAGAAAGAAAGAAAGAAAGAAAGAAAGAGAAAGAGAAAGAGAGAAAGAGAGAAAGAGAGAAAGAGAGAAAGAGAGAAAGAAAGAAAGAAAGAAAGAAAGAAAGAAAGAAAGAAAGAAAGAAAGAAAGAAAGAAAGAAAGAAAGAAAGAGAGAAACCATTCCTGTCCTGGCCCATGTGGCTCAGTGGGTTGGGTGTCTTCCCACACACCAAGCGGTTGCTGGTTTGAGTCCCAGTCAGGGCACATGCAGGGGTCATGGGCTTGATGCCCGGCAGGGGGCCTACAGGAGGCAGCGGACTGATGTTTAACCATCACATCGATTTTTCTCTCCCTCCCCTCCCTTCCTCCCTTTCTAAAAATCAACAAATTATGCTTTTAAAAAGAAAATAAAAGAACACTTCCTAGCAATGGGACCTAGAGACAGCTGGGCTCCTGAAGCTCCACGCTCAGCTTCAGTCCCAGCTGTGGCCACATCTGTGGACTCTGGGGGGGTGGGTCTGGCTCAGTGAGGCTGAAGACACGGTCCCCAGAGCCCAGAGCCCAGAGCCGGTGCCATCTTTGCCAACTTGGCCTCTTGCCAAAATGGAGTGGACGTTGGTGGCTCTTACCTGTGGAAACGCTGCTGTTCTGCCTGGAGCCAGGTACTTCATTCTTTTCGGCCCACACAGAGAGTACGTACAGCGTCCCGGGCTCCAGTCCCTCCACTGTGACACTGGTGTTTGCTGTGTTTTGGGTCTTAGTTCCATCACTGCCACCCATCCACTGGACCCAGTAGGTATAGTTCAGAAGGTCGGGGCCCTCAGGCACCTGCCAGCTCAGGGTGATGGAGCTGTTGGACCGTTTCTTCATGCTCAGGTCTCTGACGAGGTTAGGGGCTGGGACATCAGGAAGAAGGATCAGTGTCCGAGGGGGAGCAGGTCAGAGGGGGCACTCGATGGGCATTCCTAACCCTCACAGCTCCCAGGCCTGCCTCTAGCACTGATCCCAGGACACAGGGCAAGCTGCAGTGTGCACACCTAACACTGGCATCTCGTTAAGACGGAGGTCCTGGCCTGCCATCGTGGCTCAGTGGCTAGAGAGTCAGCCCTCAGACTGAAGGGTCTTGGGTTCTATCCCAGTCAAGGGCACATACCTGGGTTGCAGGCTCGATCCCCGGCCTCAGTCGGGGAGCATTCGAGAGGCAACCAATCGATGTGTCTCTCTCACATCGATGTTTCTGTCTCTCTCTCTCTCCCCCTCCCACTCTCTCTGAAAAGCAATGGAAAAAATATCCTCAGGCGAGGGTTAAAAAACAAACAGCCCGGCCGGAGCGGCTCAGTGGTTGAGTGTTGACCCATGAACCTGGAGGTCACAGTTCAATTCCGGGTCAGGGCACATGCCCGGATCATGGGCTCAATCCCCAGTAGGGGGCGCTGCAGGAGGCAACCGATCAATGACTCTATCATTGATGTTTCTCTCTCTCTCTCTCCTTTCCTCTCCCTGAAATCAATAAAGATATATTTAAAATAAAATAAAATAAAAATAAATTTTAAAAATAAATAAATAAAAAGACTGACACAGCTGGGAACTAGAAGACTCCGAGAACCCGAGGGTCCACATTCCACAGTACCTACCCCTGCCCAGAGCTGATGTTGTGTGCCTTTGCCCCCTGCACAGCCTGGCTGCTCAGGAAGACACTCTCTGGTATCACGGTCTGGGTTCTAAGTCTGACACCCAGACCGATCCCCGCTCAGAACCCCATGGACGCTCTTCCTTCACCTCCTGCTCAACGTGACCCAAAACGTTGGGCTTAGAGAATCTGCCACGTTCTCCTGACGGTTTACCACTTCCACCTATCACCTCTCATCAAAAAACAAACAGCCCGGGCCTGTGTAGCTCAGTGTTTAGAGCATTGGCCCACGCACCAAAGGGCCATGAGTTCGATTCCTGGCCTAGGGCACATACCTGGGTTGTGGGTTCCCTCCCTGCCCCCAGAGGAGGCACATGCGGGAGGCAACCAGTTGATGTGTCTCTCTCACATCGACGTTTCTCTCTCACCCTCCCCCTTCCTCCCTTCCACTCTCTCTGAAAAGCAATGGAAAAAGAATGCTCAGGTGAGGATTCAAAACCACAAACACAAAAAAACTAAATGACAATGACGAAAAAACAAACGGCCCTGCTGTCACCTGTGGCGGCCTGGTGAGTGACCCAGGAGCTGTTGACGCTCTTGTTCTCCACCCACATGGCAAGTCTGTATGAGGACCCAGGCTTTAGTCCGTCCAGGATGACACTGGTGTTCGCTGTGCTCCGGGTCTCAGTTTTACCACCTCCGTCCGTCCACTGCACCCAGTAGGTGTAGCTCAGGCCGGGGCCGTCGGGCGGCTCCCAGCGCAGGCTCAGGGAGCTGTTGGTCTGATCCTGCACGCTCAGGTTCCTCACGGAGTTGGGCGCTGGGACCATACGAAGACAGGGGCTCAGCAGGGGAGCAGGTCATTTCGCAGTTCAGCCCCCTCCGTGTCCCCAGTTCAGCCCCCTCCACAGCCCTGGTTGCTAAGCAGAGACACCTCCCCCCAAGCATTCTGGTCTAGAAAGCTCTCCGAGCCCCTAACTCTGAGGCAGGAGGGCCCGTGGACAACCCCTGGGATGCGGCCAGTCTCTCCTGGAGCCTCGCGGAAGGTCCGGCCCTGTGAGGCCCAATGACATGTTGGCCCCCATCTGCTGGCACCTCCTTCCAAAGGATCTCAGCCGTCTCCCACCACCCCCAGGGGAGAAACCAGCAAGTGGGCAGAGTGGGCATGGGTGCTCCTGACCTGTGGCACCCTCGAGGGGCTCCATGGAGCCGTGCACTCCATGCTTCTCCGCCCACACAGAAAACTCATAGGAGGTTGCCGGCTTAAGTTCTTCCACTGAGTAACTGGTGTTTGTTGTGTTTCGGGTCTCATTTTTGTCACTCTGGTTGGTCCACTGCACCCAGTAGGTGTAGTTCTGAGAGTTCGGGCCTTCAGGGGCCTCCCAGCGCAGGCTGATGGAGCTGTTGGTCTGCTTCTCCACCCTCAGGTTCCTGACGCTGTTAGGGGCTGAGGAGGGGACGGGAGGGGAAATCAGCTGTGGTCTCTGGGGCCCACATCTCCAGGCCTGCCTTCCCCACTGGGCCCCGGAACGGTGGGGCCGCGGCTACACCTGCGAGTCCGAATGCAGCAGCCTGACCTCCAGGTGACACTGGGCCCTGGCCGGGTGGCCTAGTTGGCTGGAGACTCCTCCCGTGCACCGAAAGGCTGCGGGTTTGATTCCAGGTCAGGGCACATACCTAGGCTGAGGGTTTGATTCCCAGTCGGGGCGCACACAGGAGGCAACCGACCAACGTTTCTCTCTCACATGGATGTTTCTCTCTCTCCCTTCCTCTCTCTCTGAAATCAATAAACATATCCTCAGGTGAGGCTTAAAAAACACAAAATGAAATACTGAGTTTGAAGAAGAATTGGGATGAAGTTAAGCCTGTACAAAATCTCATTAAACTGACTTCAGGAGGCGAGGCGGAGAGAAGGGGGGAGGGCGTGGACTCGCTGATCCACTTACTGACGCATCACTGGTTGACCCCCGAGTGCGCCCTGACCGGGGGTGAACCTGAAACCTCGGCGTGGCCGGACAACGCTCTGACCGACTGAGCTCCTGGCCTGGGCTCCATCGGTCCTCTGTGATTCGGGCGCCACGTCACAGGGATACCATTTTGAACCTACGGGGCTAAATAAACTCTCTCTTTATAACGAATTTCACCTGTTTCCTTTGACTTATTTCAATGGGCCTGATAGAAAACTAGACCTCGCAGTGTGGCCTCCACTGGCTCGCCATCGCCTACAGAACCTGCCCCTTCTGCTGTGAGCCCTGCAGGCCGCCTCCCTTCAAAAACCAGCCAAGCAGCCAAGCAGCCACAGCCGTCCCAGGGGCTGCGGTCACCTGTGGTGGCCTGGAGCATCCCGGGGGTGCCGTTGCTTCCGCCTGCCTCCGCCCACACGAAGAATTTGTAGGAGGACGAAGGTTGAAGCCCGTCCGCTGTGAAACAGGTGTCTGTCGTGTTTCGAGTCTCATTTTTGTCACCCTGGTTGGTCCACTGCACCCAGTAGGTGTAGTTCTGAGAGTTCGGGCTTTTGGGGTCGTCCCAGCACAGGCTGATGGAGCTGTTGGTCCGCTTCTCCACCCTCAGGTTCTTGACCAAGTCAGGGTCTGAGAATTGGGAAGGAAGGCCGGGTGTGGGCGGGGGTGCGCCACCCTTGGCCTGGCTCTCCCCACTCTCGCCCTGAGTCCAGAAAGACCACCCCCACCAGCACCTGCCAGGGGTCCTTGCACCCTCCATGGAGACCCACCCCCCAGAAACAGAGTTGAGGTGCAAGCTCTCTGTGTGGGCGGTGAACTCAGCGAGGGTCACTCACCGGCTGCCCTGGCGCCTGTCCAGATGCACAGGCCCTGGGGAGAGCCCAGGGGGAGAATCAGAGTCCGAGCCCCACCTGCGGGGCCCAGGTGAGCGGTGGGGCTGGGCCAACAGCCGCCCTCCGGCCTCTGCCCCACCCGGCGCCCCGCCTGGAGGAGAGCTGGGACGCGGCACAGCTGGCACCGCCTCCCCCGGCTGGGCGCCCAGGAAGGTCACTCCAATGGCCAGCTGTGTTTTCTGGGTGTGGGTGGCCTGTGTTGTGGGGGTGGGGACAGAGGCGGGGCTCCGGGGACCCAGGAGCTGGGGTTGGCTCCACCGATTAGGCCGGGAGATAAAGTTAATGGTTTCACTTCCTGAAAAGTATGGCCCGGGAAGACTAGAGGCAGGAAAGTAAGCAACATACTACTGTTTAAAAATAATGCTAAAATACAAGTAACCAACAACGGAACCCGGGAGAGACTGAGGCCGGGGACCGGAGGCCGGACACCGAGTCTGATGGTGTCTGAGGCTGGAGGCCTGAACCCCTGGGCCAGAGGGAGGAGGGGGTGGGGCCTGGACCCCTGGGTCCCAGGGAGGAGGGGCTGAGGGCCTGGACCCCTAGGTCTGAGGGTGGAGGGACTGGGGCCTGGGCTCCTGGGCCAGAGGGAGGAGGGACTGGGGCCTGGGCTCCTGGGTCCGAGGGAGGAGGGGCTGAGGGCCTGGACCCCTAGGTCTGAGGGAGGAGGGGCTGGGGCCTGGGCTCCTGGGCCAGAGGGAGGAGGGACTGGGGCCTGGGCTCCTGGGTCCGAGGGAGGAGGGGCTGAGGGCCTGGACCCCTAGGTCTGAGGGAGGAGGGGCTGGGGCCTGGGCTCCTGGGCCAGAGGGAGGAGGGACTGGGGCCTGGGCTCCTGGGTCCGAGGGAGGAGGGGCTGAGGGCCTGGACCCCTAGGTCTGAGGGAGGAGGGGCTGGGGCCTGGGCTCCTGGGTCAGAGGGAGGAGGGACTGGGGCCTGGGCTCCTGGGTCCGAGGGAGGAGGGGCTGAGGGCCTGGACCCCTAGGTCTGAGGGTGGAGGGACTGGGGCCTGGGCTCCTGGGCCAGAGGGAGGAGGGACTGGGGCCTGGGCTCCTGGGTCCGAGGGAGGAGGGGCTGAGGGCCTGGACCCCTAGGTCTGAGGGAGGAGGGGCTGGGGCCTGGGCTCCTGGGCCAGAGGGAGGAGGGACTGGGGCCTGGGCTCCTGGGTCCGAGGGAGGAGGGGCTGAGGGCCTGGGCTCCTGGGTCTGAGGGAGGAGGGGCTGGGGCCTGGGCTCCTGGGTCTGAGGGAGGAGGGGCTGGGGTCTGGACTCCTGGATCTATATAAAGCAGAATTTACTCTCACCCCAGACCCTACTGTATCTAAGAGCCCAGGTGTAAGACGCCCAACACTCCTTGGAACCTAGACTTCTTGCTTCTCCCGGGAACCGCCGGCCCTCACTCCCTCAGAACCTGAGTTCAGGGACCCCAGTTCCCCAATCCCTCAGGCCCAGCAGAGGGCCCCCCCTCCCTGAGATCCCTCTTGGCTGGCTGGGAACACTCACCAGCAGCATCAGGCTCCCCCAGGCCCTGAGGCCCCCACCAGACCAGGCCATGTCTGCAGGCTCTCCGAGGGACCCAGGTATCCCAGTCCCCGACCTTCCACCTGCCGGACTTTAAATGCATGCATTTCCCCTTTCCCAGCCCAAGGGCCTGGAGGCCGCAGGTCCGGGCGGGAGGGGGGAGGAGGAAGTGGAGGCTCCGGGGAGAGCACCAGCCCCGCCCCGGCCCCTGCCCTCTGCCCTCTGCCTGGGTCGTGGCCTCTGGACCCTCCCCTGTTGCGAGAAAAGCACAGGGATGGGGCACTGTCTCGCCACTGGCCCAGCCAGTCTCCTAGCTTCTCCAAAAGTTCTTAAGTTTTTAGTTTGTAGGTGCCCCAGGCTGTGTCCAACCCCAGGCTCCTGGCACCTGCCGTTCCCTGTGTCTGGCAAGTTCTTTCTCCATCAGCCAAGGCCCACGGCCTCGCCCACCTCTGGCCGAGCCGGGACTCGACCACGCCCTCCTGTGCGAGCTTACCTAAGCAAATCTCTGATTATAATACTCGGGACATTGCGTGTGCCTGTGTACCTGTCCTTCTTCTCCAGGGCAGAGACAAGCCCGCTCCTCTCTGCCGCCGCGGGGCCAAGTCGGCACCTGCGCGGACTCGGAGCTGAGCCTGGGCTTGACTGTGTGCGTCACGCTCTCTGAGCCCACGTCAGCGACGCTCACTCCGTTCCTGCCTTCCTCGCCTGTGACTAGGTCCTCCTTGACTTCGTGCTGGTGAACCAGCCCAGATGCCCACCTCGCCCATCACTGGGCGTCCTTCCCAGCCACCTGGGGGGAGCCAGGATCAGAGGACCCTGGGGACAATGCGGCCACCTCGCCACGTTGCAGGACGAAGGGCTCCTGGCTCCCTTCTCTCAGGGACTGAAGGAAGAAACAGAGCAAGACTGGGAGGGGGGAGGGCATCATCCTGGTGGCATCATGGCCCTCCAGCTCAGTCCCCAAAGCTGCCACCAGCCTGGAGGTCCTTGGCAAAGCCACAGTTGCCTTTTCCCTGATGCTGTCAGCCAGGACACCCTTTAAAGACCTGGAGATGGACGGATTTCACTGGGCAGAGGGGAGGAAATGGGGATTTCTTTTCCTGTCCCCCAAGAGCAAACCTGCCTGCCTTACCAGCTGGCCCTGAGCAACAAAAGTGGACTTTCTCGAAGTCCTATCATGATGTTTAACTACTACCCACTGCAGGAGGGGCAACCAGAATCCAGTCTCTGCATTAAGCTTTCACCCCCCCAATCCTGCCATCCACACCCCAGCCCTAGGCAACCACTAATCCACTCTGCCTCCTGACTCATCCATTCCGGGCATCCCATAGAAGTTGAACCCTGTAAGAAGGGTCTTTGGAATGGGCATCTTGCCCTTGGGGTAAGGTTTTCAAAGTTGGTGCATTTTGTTGCCCGGAACAAAACTTCGATCCTGTTTAGAGCCATGTAATATGCCACGGACCCATGTTTTTAAGGGGCTGACTGATAGCAGGTGATTGCTGCTCTGTAGGACTGGACCCTGGTGAAGCTAAGGATTGCCAGCGGCCACCAGCAGCTGGGGGACAGGCACCAGGAAGAGAGAAGGTGCTCAATTTATTACCTTCACGTAGTCTGTCCTGAGCCTCCCACTCTTGGTGGACAGGGCCATGGGGACCTGGGTAGCGTAGCAGGTGGTCACGACCACCAGGCGGGTGTGGGGCAGGGGCTGAATGAAGGCATCCAGGACCAACATGGCATCTGAGGTTGTGAAGAGCAGGGTGCACCGCCCGGGACACCTGCCCCTCTCCAGGCCGTGCCACGGCATTCATGCCTGATGTCCTTGGGAGATGCCCAGAAGGACACCATGTGGAAATGGATGCATAGTTCCAGAGGGACACCGGGGATGGCTGGGGCTACCAGCAGCTGGAAGAGGCAGGGAGGACCCTCCCCAAAGCCTGGGAGGGAGTGTGGCCCTGCCAACACCTGGCCTTTGGACATCTGGCCCCAGGACTGTGGAAAACTAACCTCTGGTGTCTTAAGCCACCCAGTGTGTGGTGATTTGTGACAACAGCCACAGAAACACAGGGGCCAGTCTCCTCCTGGCCTCAGATCTGTAAAATCATCCCAAGGATGGGCACATGAATCCCTCGGCCATCAAAGGCCCCGGGAGGGGGCAGGCCACATCCCACATACCCTGGGCCCCGGCAAGTTCCCTGTGCTTACAGCCAACAAGACTGCATCACACTCTATATGATAACATGGCCCAAGGGCGAATCTCACGGTCAGTGTCCTTCCCACGAGAACAAAAAAGCCCGTGCACACCACTGGGAATGTAATCAGTGCCACCAAATCGTACACTTAAAAATGATAAATTTCATTGTAAGAAAGAAAGAATGCCCCATGCCCCTCCCCAAACAAAGGAGACGCCTATTTATTTGTTTCCTTGCCCCCTTTACTCAGGTAACAAAGGGACTGATTAGGGCCAGTGGGAAGGGGGCCGGCGACACGGGATCAGAACCGAGGGAAGGTGGGGCAGTGGACTCATAAATCTGCACACGTCTCTAGGTGGACAGAGGCTTGCAGACGGGAGTCTGGGAGCCTGGTTCCAGCCCCCAAGGGTGGTTCCCCATCTGGAAGGTCTAGGTCCTTGCAGGAGGGGAGCTGATGGACGCTGGCCTGTTGGGGCCCCCGGTCAGTTGGTCTTGAGCCTGGGGCTCTGGAAGGCTGACAGGGTGATGAGGAACTGGGCGCCATAGTAGGTGGCCATGACCAGCAGGCGGCCGTGGGCCAGGGGCTGGATGAAGGTATCCCAGGACAGCACGGAATCAGAGGTGGCAAAGAGCAGGGCACCCCAGCTGGCGCTCCCGCCCCGGGCCAGGCCGCGCCACAGCATGGCAGACAAGATCAGGGCGTAGGCTGTCAGCGGCAGGACCATGTCAGGTGGGAGGTGCAGCAGCAGGAGGCCGTAGAACGGGAGGGAGGCCAGGATGATGGGCAGCAGGAGGCCTGGCCGCAGGGGTCTGAGCCCGAAGGCCCAGAAGTAGAGCAGCTGGGCCATGCCGAAGGCAAGGACGCCTGGAGGACATGGGGTGGGGCACCTAGTGAGACCTGCTTCCCTGCATCTCCTCGGGCCACGGCCTGAGGGACAGGACAGCCCCCACCCCCACCAGGTCCCACCAGGTCTCCTGGGTGGCCCAGCTTCCCCCTGCCCTTAGGTCATGCAGGGTCAGTCCTCACTCAGCTCCCAGCTGCCCGACTCCCACCTGCTCTGCTCCCACTTGGCTTCAGCACCCAGGTCTGTTTGGATGCACACACCGGGCACACCCCTACCTCAGGGCCTCTGCACTTGCTGGTCCCTCTGCCTAGACCGTCTGTCCTTCCACTCCCCCACCAAGATGACCCCTTCCCTGCAACACTATTCTACTCAAGACTGTGACACCGGCACCCCACACTCTCCTTCCTTCCTTCCTGCCAGCCGCTCACACCTGCTAGGCTAGGAGCTCCCTCAGGGCAGGGGCCTGGGTATGTGTCAGCCACTGTGCTCCCCCAGGATCTTTGAAGGTGCCCCAGGACCTCTGATCGCCACCTTGCTTGGGGAATCACCCTAACCCAGGAACCCTTGGCGTGGGGGTCCCAAAGGGACAATGCCGCTGGCTGACTCTGCTCACCATAGAGAAAGGCCTGGGGCCAGATGAGGAAGACGTCCCCAAGCGCGGAGAAGAGCAGGGCCCCCTGCAGTAGAGAGCTGTAGGCCCTGCCAGAGCCAGAGTGCGCCCGAAGGAGCCCCACCAGGCATAGCACAGGCAGGCACTTGACCAGAGCGCCCACCCAGGACGGCGGGTCCTCAGGGATCCAGAGCAGGAAGTAGGCGACGCAGGTGAGAAAGAAGGGGCTCAGGCTGCCCAGGTGTGGCTGCTTCGGGACAAGGGAGTGGCTCAGACGCTGGAGCTCAGCCCAGCCCAGCCCTCGG